TGTAGAAAAACTAAGAGAGACGAGTAACACTAAAATTGTGGGTGATCGTAGCAACTCACTGTGATTTTTATTGAATAAGAGATGGCCTTTAAATAGCCATTGTACAACGTACTGAATTAACAAGAAGATAATAAAATATCTTATCAAATCAAAACTTACCAAAAAACTATCTTATCTAATCTGAAACCAAATAACTCAAAATCAAATAATTCCAGATAACTAAATCGGATATCCCGGATATCTTGGATATCTCGAATATCTCGGATATCTCGGATATCTCTAGAAATTTAAGATTATCCAACAATAGTTAGAGCAAACACAACGCTATTCAAGTTACTAAGTTGCAAATGTTACTCTGAATTGATCAAAGAATAAGTAATATTTCGAACTTTTATAGTTATTTTGATGCACTCGGGAGTTTCATCACATATATATTCATATCTTTATATTAGTAAGATATTATTTGTTTTGAGTGTAAGTCTCTACAATTTTGTTTTTGAACATCATCCAAAAGATTTCTTTTCAATGGAGACAACTTTGTGTATATAAATCTATGTATCCTCCATCAAAGAATGAATCATGATTTTATCCTACTTTTCTAGCGAAAATTATTAGTCTACGAGTATATCTAATGGTAATTCATAGAGTTCAGTCACGCTTTAAGTACTTGTACTCATAATATAAGGGATACGCCTTCTAACCCTCCATGTTATTAGGAAGACATTTCTCCATATATGGATATACTATTAGGAAGACTTTTGATACAAGGAATCTTATACCTAGACTCACCTACCAATTCTATCATACTCGTTGAGCTGGTTACTCCTAACCCTCTATGTTATCAAGAGAACATTCTTTTATATATGGACTGACTATTAGGATAACTTTTGATATAAAGAATCTTATACTCAGATTCACCTACCAACTCTATTAAGATGACTTTCAATACAAGGGATCTTATACTCTGATTCACATGTCATCAACTCTATTATGCTTGTCGAGCTAGTCACCTAGTCGACCATTATGTCTAATACTACTTGTTATGTACTTAAAGATTTCACTACATACATATGTCTAAGTCCACATGATTTTCTTTTTAGATATTATCTAAAAAAAACTTCTTTTCAATAAAGATAATTATATATATATATATATATATATA